AATATTCTGTAAAAATATATTTTAAATTAATTATTTATAGGAGATGTATGATCAGTAAATATATGGTATTACTGGCCACTTCAGACACAAAGACAGGATAAAACAGCCCATCTCCCTTCTTACAGCTGCCAATGGGAAGTGTCTTGGATTAAATTTGATGTTTATTTTCATTGTTTGTCTAATTTATTATGTATCAGTAATATTACTAAAAATTGTGTAGGTAGAGGCAGCTCCCAAACAGGTAGATACTAAAGACTGGATGGAAGCATAATGTGTTGTCTAATGGTAGACCCTGCTGCCATATGGCATCACGAAAATTGTGACCAAGTCCCAGGTTCAGCGCTGACCTGACTTTCTGCTTCATTTACACACAATTGCAGTTTCAATTGTTCCTCTTACTTTGACAACACAATATCTTTTTTACTTTTTGTATTTATTTATGGTTAGTTACTTAAAATAAGGCCAATTCACTTCAAGTAATGGCATCAAATGTTACCAGCTGGTGTAGTGTAAACACTAGTGACGTCATTAAGCGTCTGTATTTAACTGTCAGTAGTTTCAAGAATTAGCAGTCATTTACTGAATATTCCTTGTAAAAAAATAAATTTTAAATTAATTATTTATAGGAGATAAGTATTATTATCAGTAAAATACCGATATGCCTTACTGACCCACCTACGGCTATAAATAGCCCAATCTCGTGGTCACTTTCCCTTTCTTGTCTCCTCACTGGCAAATGGGGGGATGGGGGAGGGGTGTGTGTGATAGCTGTGTTTATTACAGGGTATTATGTCTTTACGTATGTGAAGGTTTATAATACATTTTATTATTTTAATATACCAATAATCTTAATTTGAATCCAGTTACAAATGTAAAGTTTCAGTATAAAATAATTAGTGGTAGGACCTTAGTGGCTTACTTATGTTTCCATCACCACTCTTGACACACTAAACCACAATATTTAAGAGGTTAGAATTTTATACTTGGTGATGAAGACGACCAATTAACTTTGGGCAGGATTTTTTAATGTTCAAATTCCGTCTTATAAGCCGAGATATACGGTATGTAGCCTGCACTCCAAGGTTACCACACCAGGCCCCCTTTGTGTTTAAAGGATCCAAGATATAACCTTGACTCACATTTCCCATGCATTTTCTTGTAGCTTGTGCCGATTTCTCATGAATCACAGTGATTTTATTTAATCGTAACAGTGTTGTGAGAGTTTTGACCCATGTCTCATGTTGCTGGCAAGGTGGAGGGCGGTAAAACGTAAAAACTGCAAGGAGATTGCACCATATTGTTATATAGGTCCTCGTTAACGGAAAGAATCCGCTCTCCAGCAGGTTGCTCGTAACCGAAAATTCTTAATCGAAACCATTGTTTCAATGGGTTTTGTAATTGTCTGAAACACCGGACCCTAAATTCAACAAAATGGTAGAAAAGTACACTTACTTTGAGGTGTGTATGTAGAAGGTTCCTGGATGATGATGATGATGATGGGAATTAAATGGGGATGGAGGAGAAGGAAGAAGAGAAGGCATTGGGGTGAAAAAAAAGTCACCCCATGGCACCATTTCACCCATAAAATTTTAGTTCTCTTTGTATTTCAAGATTATTTTCTTTTAAATCAACACTGCACTGCATTATATATTGTCAATATAAAATATATTTCAAAATGACCAATAATTTGCTTGGAAACACAGAAAAAAGCTTAGTTGAAGAGTCTCAAGCAAGATGTTACCTCCACTGAAAACAGAGAGAGACTAACGCCTGTCTGGTGTGTTAACAGGTTGGATGGCACCAGAAACTAGTTTTTTACCTTCAATTATGTTCAATAATTGTTAAACTGAACTAAAAAGTATTATTAAACTTAGAAAATTATTGAATAGTATAAACTTTGATATTTACTAAAATAGTAAGGAATTTGCCTTAAAACACATTACTGTATTGGCGGACTAATACTACAGCTGGTGGACCGCCAAATGCAAGCGAAATACAGAAGTTTTCCCAAAAAACTCGTTAATCGAGATTGCTTCAACTGTTAAGAATCTTATGGAAGGTAAATCATTAACCGAAATCTCGTTAACCGAGGGACCACTGTAGTGTGGTCCCTCCTGATGCCTCTCCCAGTGTTCCTGGCCCTTCTAGCATCAGTGATAGTTTGTCTGGCCCTTCAACAAGCAATCCTAGCGCTATGAATCCACATGTACAACTATCTTTTGCAGCAGAAGGAAAAAATGAATAATCTGGACTGATTCAAGTAAAATTGCAAAAATCAAAATTTACACCACTACTATCTACCGAAATATTAATTTTTTCACAACTTTTCTTCTAAAACTATTTTTTGTGAAATATGTACGCTTTATAACAGAATAAGTTTTATATTGCAATCACATGAAATAATGAAGGTATAAAGTGATGTATAAACATTTTCATCAAGTGTATAGAAATAATTATTTTATCGTGATTACTCATTACAACTGTTTGTAGATAATTTATTTACAATGCTAATGCAACAAATCACACCTTTTTATCTCAAACAGCAAGCATGCTATGACTCATTATGTATAATTACCCCTCAGGTGGTGTAGTCTAGCGCTGTGATGTAAGTAACAGGCCAGACCCAGGAGCGTCTGGCAGGAGAGTGCCTACCCAAACCCAAGAGGTAAACTAACCATCTAAACTATCAACAACTATTCTCCATACAGTGTTACCAGATCACCTGCCTCATCATGCATGTTAGCATGGGATGAACTTCTGCTGTTGACTGTACAGGACAGCCCCAATTTATGATCTCCCGATTTGTGATATTTTGCATGAACAATGGTGATGTTTTAAGACCACTTATTTATGATAAAACAAATTTGCATGAACGATGGTCATCATCACGCCAAAATTTCTGACACCCAGTACAGTATATGGAACACATTTCTCGCTGAACTTATCAGCGGTGTCATCTATCACACTTCGCCATGGAGCCACCCGATGCACTGCAATCCCGCGCTTTGTTCCATGGTGATCGATTCTGCCCGTAATCGTGTAGCTCAATGATTATTAGTCCGTATCGGTGTTGATACTTATCAGTGGTGGGTTTTTTTCCTTATAGTGAGAGAGCATTCACATTGTACTCTGTTTTGGTGATTGTGAAGTCATTTTTACCATGTTTTTTATGACTGTAAAGTACTTTCCTTCTGTTGTTATGAACATGATGCGAGCAGTGTTGGCCGCTATCATTGTTTTTACATTATCATCAGCGTTTTTCCTTAAAATAAAATGACATCACTAATATTCAGATTATATTCAATTTTTGTGATTGTGAAGTGAGCAGTGTAACTTTGAAAATGTCTAGCAAGCTGTTGCTGAAGGCTCCTGCATCTAGGAAGGCCAAGGTGCTCTGGAAAACCATGTCTCTGGAGGTGAAGCTTGACATTGTGAAGCAGCTGTTTGCTCTTAACGATGTGATGGGTTTTTTAATTGTGTTTAGTTATTTTATTAGTGTAGGATTGTTTTTTCGTGATACATGTGGGTGTCAAACATGCTGGGAACATATCCCATTGAACCACATGTTATAATGCCCCTGATTAACAATACAGGTACTTCAATTTGCGATGGAGTTGAACATAACCCCATCTTAAACGTATATCTGTACTATTTTTTCATATAAAATATAAGATGACTGTCCTGGATTTATGTAAATATTACCATATCATTAAGTACAAGTATAATAAATCATATACTGTATTTTCATTTGATAGCATTTACTTGCAGGGAATCTAGAGAAGGAATAAATTGTAGTTGCAACATTTCAGTAGTGTTTCTTTTTTTTTTTTAACAGAAGTAGATGAGTGTCTTTTATTTTTATGTAATGTATACTGCACTGTACAGTACTTGTAAAATGATATTGGATTATAGTCCTTCCGATTATGGCCAACTCCCTTGCAGGAGTTTCCGAAAGGTCATTGTAAATATATACCCTGTACTTTTTGTTGTTTATAAGTCTCACATATCTTTCTAAGTAAACAGTACATCACTGTACTATTTTCATTGATTTCTAAAATGTGAATAAGAATTGTTTTTATTATTATTTTTTTTTTTTTACATGAAACAGAGATTCCATTATTTTACTATTTTGGAGAATTTTCATATGAAACTTCCGTCACATTGCAAGTCTTAATTCTCTGGAGTACAGTATTATGACCAACTTGTAATTCCTTAGGTCACTTTTTGTCTATGATATCACACTTATATGGTTGTACAATTTCTTCTAAAAAGCCTTTTTTTTTTTTTTTTACAGTTTTTGTGATATACTGTAGTCCTGAATGCGACGTCCAGCTTCCATCAAGGGAAGTGTAGCAACTCCCTTTGGGATAAACACATAAACATAAAAGAATTAGCAGTAGTCCTATTCTTTTTGTTGGCAAACCCAAATTTCAAAAACATGACAATTCTGTTTGCCATAGACAACAAAGCGGCAGTGCTTTGTCTCAATCATCATGGCTCAACCAGATCTTGTCCCCTTCTAAAACTGTCAGAAAATTTTTTCAAAGTTTGTGGAACACAAACACTTTACCTCAAAGCAACTCACACACCGGGAGTACAAAACAATTGGGCAGATGGGTTGTCCCGTCTCAGGCCAGTATCGACGAAAACAGAATGGTCCCTAAAGATATTGAAGTTCAAGAATCTAGTGAGGAGGTTTGGGACTCCACAAATAGATATCTTTACCTCACAGAACAAGGTGCCAACTTATGCATCTCTGGAACGATCGAATCTTTTAGGAAATGCTCTACTCATAGATTGGAATTCAATCTATCTGTTCCCACAAGGCTTTTGGTATCAGGTATAGAAAATCCAAGTCTTTTTCATGGTGAAAAATTACTGGAAAAGGTCACATTAGTAAATTCTGATTTTGCTGGAGAAATTACACTGATTGGGACCAGCCTTTTCATGAATTACAGTCAAGGGATGAAAAATAATTATTGACGAGTCTGCAAACTTACCTTGACAGTGATGGATGTTCCAAAACAATGTCACATTGGGCAAGGCGACCAATTACTGTAAATGGTTTGTTCAAGGGTATTGTATCCACAATAATCCCATTCTTCAGGACCTCAAATGAATACTCAGCTATGGGTAGTCCACTCCATGTTGGTTCCTGAGGAGGTAAATATATTCACAGTAGATAAACAAAATTCATAAATATGACAACTTTCAACATAAAAAAAACTCAGTAAATCCATGGAAAGTGCTCACGTGATTTGATGACTGAATACGATGTGCAAAACAAGTGTATAAATTAGAGATGGATGGTAGAAGGTGAAGGGGATGCTCAAGAAGATGGAAGGATGGGTTGATGGACACATTAAAAGGGAATGAGTTGGACATCATGAAAGCAGATCTTGTTGCTATTTTCACTTCAGATGGATGTGAATCCAGAGGACCTCAGGTACCTGGCAGTCATATTTGTGGAAATTAAAGTTGAAGGACTGCCTGTGTTGCATAAAAGTTGGGCTAACACAGATGCAATGTGAAAATAAAAAGTAACACTTAATTTTGAAGAAACAAAAGGAAATACAGAATTTAAAAAAAGTTTAAGAGCTTTAAGAATACAAATGTGCCGCATCTTACGCAAGGGTTAAGTTCCGAAGAGGGAGCATAAAGCCCAAAACGCATATACCTGTACTCAAAATTACCCCTGAAAATCCCTTAAATCACCCATAAAGTACATGGTCATATATACCTGGCAAGGGCACACCTAACGACTAAGCTGGTTAGGCCTATTTCAGTTAAAATTCGCACCACACACAGAATGTGTCCCCCCAAAAAAAAATAAATAATAATTATCATAAGGTCAAAAACATAAGGGAAGTAATCCTTATCTAAGTTGTCATCAACACCACCACCTATGTTGTCATTAACACCACAAAGTCTCGTCATCACCATGACCCAGCCCTTTGTTTGTTGGTGGTGGAAATAGTTTGCATCACTCCTGAGATGCCACTGTCTCTCATGGAAGGAGAGAAGAATGACAGTTAACACCACCTGTCTAACCAGATGGTACTGGATAAAGCGGGCCATCCTGTATCATCATATAGTTACAGGTATACCTCGATAACCGACACATATGTGGACTGCAAAAAGCAATAAATCCCATATGAATATGACAAATTCAGGAGGTTAGGGACCAGCCAACCCCCTATAACTCCTACCTACCTACCCTTGATATATCTCTGTCATTCAGACTGTCAAGCAAAAAAAAAAATAAAAAATAAAATAAAAGCAGACACATAGCAGGCAAAATAAGCATTAATTTAGAAATGTACTGCCAGCAGCACCCTAACCCGGGGCTTAAGGGTTAAGAGTTTTAAAATACATCCCCACACTTTTCGAAAACAATTACAGGCTAGTGGAAATTTCTGTGGGCTAACAAAGTTTTTAGATTCAGCAGGCCTGCTAACACATGCAGACCCTCACTATGTTGATGTTCCATGCCTATAAACCTGTTCTATATGGTTACTGGAGAAATACAGCCATCTACAAACATAATAAATGGCTTCTCTTATAAAGAATTATTTTATTAGGTTAATATGTTGTGGGAGGGAGGAGGGAAAGAATGAAAAAGTGAGGCATCACCTTCGGTATAACGTATCCTTTTATTCTCAAGTCATAATACAAATTATAACTATATTTTATCTGTTATTGAAGACCTTGTATTATTTATGATGAATCATATGCCATAAGAGGCTGATCAGTGTAGAATATTATAATAATAAATCAATAAAATTCAGGTTGAAAGCTGGCCTAGACGGCAGTTGGCAAGTAAGGAAGCCATTACGTACCTTCTGATACAGCTTGTTCTTTTACTTTGAAGCCATTTTACAAATTATATATCATATTTTCTTCTATTATTTACTATATTATTTATGAAGAAACATACTTCATAAGAGGCTGAACACACGAGAATATAATAATGACTAAAAAACAACAAACTGGCAAATACGGCACAGCCAGTCCCACCCTTTGTGAATTGGCTTGTCTTTTATTTTGAAGTCAAATTATATACAGTATCACATTTTGTTCTATTTAATACTGTATGTTATAATATTTACAATGAAACATACACCATAATAAGCTGAATAATACGAGAATACTGTATACAGTCAACCCTCGCTTTACGCGGTCCCACATTCTGCGTTTCCACGTTTATGCGGTACCCTGCCGAAACCGGAATGCTCACATTCCGCGGTGTGTGTACCCCTTTATGCAGAGAGCGGCGCGAGCAGGGTGCGCACAAGGTCGCCCAGTCATCAAAACATTACCGAGTTCTTCACCTGCCACCCACCACAGCCGGCCCAAGTCAGTGATAGTGATAATTATAGTGAGGATATGGACTTGTATGGACTTTGAGGGGGTTTGACAAAGAGGCCCTGCAAGCCTCTGTGGTGGATAGTGATACAATTGATACAAGTGATACAGGTGAGGGCCAATAATCTGCCCTCTGCCTCGGAACCAACCCCCCATCCCCGTGTGCCCAGCCATCTTTTCTACTACTGTAAGTGTTAAAAAACCTAATATTATTGATATTTCTCTTAATTATTAATTGTGTGTGCATACCATCATAAAATTAAGAAGTTATTTTTACTACAACGTAGGTATTGTGTCTGAAAAACTGGAGTTTGGGGGTCGGCCCGGTCTCTATTTCAATTAATCCCATATGTTATGTTGTTCACTTTACGCGTTTCTCTCTTTACGCGGGCCGCCGTGGGTTGAATTAACCGCGTAAAGTGAGGGTTCACTGTAATAATCAAAATATAAACGAACTTGCAATTGTGACAATGGCCAATTGGTGGTACAGCCGTAACGCGCATAACTCTTACCAATATGTCAAGGGTTCGAGCCTTGGCCCAGACACACGTAAAAAGGGTGTTATCCAGTGTGATCCTCACTACCAAACACCACAGGTTTCCCGGTCGTTGGTTTCCTCCTATACTAACACTGGATGAACTGTCCAAATGGCTAGTAAGCTGACAAGTGGCGAATATGATAAAAAGAAAAAGAAAAGGTGTCATCTCAAATCTATTAGCTCTCATTAGGCCTATATCAAATCTGATTAGACCACACTATCCACATCTAAGACAATACAGTATACAGGGTGTTCCATAAACACTTTCGTAAATTAGGGAGTGTATTCCCGAGACACAAATAAAGATAAATGACTAAGTGACCAAATTTTCAATTCTCAAAAGTTTCGGAGTTATAGCACATGACAGGTTTGGTGGGAATGTGATGAAACCTACGGTCACCTGACGACATAAATCCCCTTGATTTCTACCTGTTAGGTCACTTAAAAAGCAAGGTGTATGTTACGGAGGTCCTGTGAAGAATTGTGGCGCTGTGTGCAGGACAGTGTGACAAACATTCACAACACTCCTGGGATCTTTGAAGGTGTGCGACAGGTAGACCCTGCTGCCATATGGCATCACGAAAATTGTGACCAAGTCCCAGTTTGCTGATCTGTCTTTCTGCCTCATTTACACACAATTGCAGGGTCAAAATTGGTTCTCTTACTTTGACAACACAACATACATAGGTACTCCTTGACTTACGACCTACTCGACTTACAACAACCCGGACATACAACCGCCGCAGTCTTACCAAATTTTTTTCAAATTACGTATTTTCGAGTCTCGACGTTAGTGATCGCGCTGTGTACTGACAAAATTTTTTTTGTAATTCCCTTTAAAATGGCTGGCAAGCTTAAAAGTGAGAGTTTTGTGGTGCTGAGAAGAAAAAGAGACACTCAAATTAGATTTTCTATGTATTATTTTTGCATTTTCGACTTACGACCAATTCGACTTACGACCTGGATTTGGATTCCTAACCTCATCGTAAGTCAGGGACTGCCTGTATATTGTTTCTCACTATTGATATTTTTTTTACTTTTTGTATTTCTTTATGGTTCTTTAATATTATTATTAATGTTGTTATTAGTATTATTATCATTATTATTTCATTATTTTATTTAAAAAATAATAATTTTTTATTATAAATTTTATTTACTATGAATTACAGTACAGGTGTTATTATTTTATTTTTAATTTTCATTTTTATTATAAATTTTATTTACTATGAATTATTATTATTATTATTACATTTTTGCCCCACAGGCCCCGATGTGGGTCAGTGACCTTTGCCCAGGTGTGCTAATCCCCGTAAAAAAAAGGTCACTTGTGCAACGGGTTGAAACCTGTATGGGCAAAAAGGGCGGAACTTTGAACATTTGTTCTAAATGTTAATACCAACACAAAATGTATGGCATTATTATTGTTAAATGTCACTAGTACATAACAGTGGATGTTTCATTTACACCCCATAGGTTTCATCACATTCCTACCAAACCTATCATGTGCTGTAAATCCAAAACTATTGAGAATTGAGAATTTGGCCATTTAGTCACCCATCTTTATTTTTATCTCAGGAATACCCCCGATTTATGAAAGGTATTTACGGAACACCCTGTATATTATACTTAAAACACTAGCCATGGGTTAAACAGAAGAGAAAGTATCACTGGGGTGTTTAGGGATGATTGCATAACACACAAAGTCAGAGAGAAGAGAAAGAAGAAAATACAAGAGAAAGAAGATAAGAGAAGAGAAAGAAGAAAAGAACAGAGAAAAAGAGAAGGTGAAATAAGAAGAGAAAGAGAAGAGAGAGATATGAATAACATATATACGTACTGTAGAATCTTGATTATTCACGAAATACAAATTTGCATACTTGTGGCAAGAATTCGCACCATGCCACTGCTCACCAAACTCAAAGGGACTCTCCCACTCCTCCTCCAATCATCGGATCAAAAGGGAAGTCAGTGAAACTTGCGGGTACGTATTTCCCTAATATATAATCATTGGTTATGCAACCCTGCAATTAATGAAATGTCAGTTTATGGAGTACAGTTGTACCCCACTTAACGCGGTCAATAGAACCCAGAGGGTCCCGCGTTAAGTGAAATCCGCGTTAAGTGAACAACAGAACATATGGGATTAATTCCAATAGAAACCAGCCCGACCCCCAAACTCCACTTTTTGAAGACACATAACTATGTTGTAGTAAAAATAACATCTTAATTTTATGATGGTACAAGCACACAAT